TCACAATCTGAAGATATAGTCCTTTCAGACTTTCCAATCCACATTTTTAAATTTGTCTACCTCTCCATCTTTTCAAATTACTTGGAAGAAAAACAATTTTGTGCAATTCTCCGGGGCTTTATATGTATAAATTACTAAGTGATTAGAATATTTTATATATGTGAAACAGTTTGTTCACCACTCTGTAGTTCATTCACAGCATGCATACAGTTCACCTCTGTATTTTTAGCAGCTGGTACATACTCGTTTTCTCCCGTTTCCTGGAAACCAGCTTCAAATTCTGCATCAGAGTCATGAACGGAATTAGATTCTTTACAAACAGAAGCATCCTGGCTTAGAATGAAGTCCTTGTCTGCACGCTATGAGATACACACATAGTTTGCAAAGTGGGTGAATTTTCTTGCAATACTGGAGCATACTGCTTAAGCTGCACATCAACTTCCCTCATCTCTGCATCATATGCATTTTCAAATGGTTCAATACTCGCTAACTGCGACTTCATAACTTCTCTATCAGTTTCGTTGAACTTAATAGTCGCATTTTCACATTCTTCCACTTCAGGCACTTGAGAATAAGGAACTTTATTTACATGAATTATTTCTTCACCTCTTTCAGATGCTGACTAACTCAAGACTAACTATCTCGCACTCAACGAGGCACACTCTAACTGACTGTGGACCAGCAGGTTTTATATAGCTTTCGGCTTGCGTTCGAGAACATTCTGGGATAAACCGGTTAGAATTCATTCCAGAAGGTTCTCCATCCGTCCATGGCATATCGCCAATTTTGTGGCCAAATGGGCGATTACTTACCAAATTCGGCAACTCTGCCTTCCATGCAATTCTATGGCAACCCTAAAACTGTTTTGCAGGGAAGCCATCTTACCCCGCCTGCATATTTCGTAAAAATATGTTCCGAAAAATCTGCAAGCGATTTTTAAATTTGTCTACCTCTCCATCTTTTCAAATTACTTGGAAGAAAAACAATTTTGTGCAATTCTCCAGGGCTTTATATGTATAAATTACTAAGTGATTAGAATATTTTGAATAATGACCAGTTAATTGAAAGTCTGTAAATGAAGGTTTAAAGATTTGCTTACCAGCTTAATTAGTGAATGTCAAAAATAGTGAACTTACATGTTAATATGAGTATGCTAATTTTGGAACGAGATATGTGTTATTCTTCATATTAAGGTTTATTAATTATTGTAAGCTGTAATTTGGTGTGATATTCTGTGTTATTTTGCATAGTATTATTATGGTAGGGAACTGATCAGTTTACGCAGTCAACTAATGTTAGAATTATTCAAGAAAATTAATACATGTGCTTGTCTTATAAATTTATTGCATTTTTTTATCTTGTGTGTATATTTGTACGGTGGTCTGTCAAGTCACTCCATTTGTTTGAGCTGGGAGGCTTTTTAAGAAACATGGAGCTTTATTGGAGTTATTGTTATTGATTTTACTTTTTATTACGTTACTCACAACGTGAACCTTAAATTTAATTGTACTACCACTAAATGATTGTTCTTATTATGAACTTGATTTTTAGTTAGTTTGTCCGGCACCTAGCGAGTTTAAGGTGTTAAGTTTAAAAACTTAACACCCCTAATTTTTCAGCTTCTCAGCGATTTTTCACAAAGCCAAAATAAGAAGTCAAAGAATTGCACAAGCTCGGTATCCATGTATACATCAACCTATTTTCACCCCCCAAAAATAGAGAATTACACAAATTAGGCATTGTGGACTCTCTTGACTTTGTCTATGTACGATCATTATTCACTTAAAAAGTCGAAGAAGCAGCCAACAAAAAATATATAATCTCAATAGACTACATTTTAAATCAAACAAGGAAATAACATAAAACAAAAATTCATCTTTGCTCTACACAAAGGAAATATTCACTTACCTTATTTACGAATTCACACGTCTTCAGTCAAACAAAATTCCTTAACAGCATCTAAAAACTTTCTAAAGTTATCTGAACTAGAATCTGTATACTGGCATCGCTACATAAATTCACAAAATAAGAGTCAAAAATAACTCCATAATGACTCCATAAAAATACTCCATAATGACGTTCAACCACACGCATTTCCTTCCTACAAACAGGATACTTAATAATGGCTACTAAGTAAACCTTCATTTACATGTCAGTTAGAATAGAGACAAGGGTACCCCTTGTAATATCGAGAAGTTGTTTCATTTATCACCAAGTTGTTTCATTTATGTTAGGCCAACTAGTTAAATGTAATAGAAACCCTATGATGACGTAATCGGTTACATGATTGCAGTAAATTCGTAAGGGCTTGTACGTGTGTTGGTTAGGAAGTATATTCAATGTACGATTTGGAAAGAAAGGGGAAAGGAGCATTACTTGACCAGTGTGTAAATGAAGGTTTACTTAGTAGCCATCATTAAGTGTCCAGTCCGTAGGAAGGAAATGTGTACGGTCGAACAACGTACGATAATGGCGCTATGGAGGATATATATGGAGGATTTTGTTTGACTGAAGACATATTAATTCAGAAATAAGGTAGTGGATATTTATTTTGTGGAGCGCAAAGATGAATTTCCCTTTTTATGTTACACAATGTGTTTGATTTAAAATGTAGTTTAATGACATTATATATATACATTGGGAGGCTGTTCCTTTGATTTTTTAAGTGGATATAGTTCGATGTGTACATGGACAATGTCAAAAGAGTGTGCAATGCCTAGTTTGTGCAATTCTCTGATTTTTTTTAAGTGGAAATAGGCTGATGTGTACATGGATAAAGTCGAGGGAGTGTGCAATGCCAAGTTTGTGCAATTCTCCGGGGTTTTTTGAAGTGAAAATATGTCGATGTTTACATGGATACCGAGTTCCTGCAATTTTTTGTCTTATTTTGGCTTTGTGTAGCGGCTACACAAGCCAAAATAACAAGTCAGAGGCTTGCACAAACTCTGCACCCATGTACCGCCAAAAATTGCCAAAGGGTACCAGTAAATATATTTTTACCTACATAAGAGTCAATTCATGTTTTATTTCCCTTTCATTCCAAATTGTACAGAAACTTCAAATTAATCTTACCACATTCAGGCATTTTACCATGTAGACCACAAAATTTTCCAAAATTCAACATGCACTTTCCATTATCCAAAACCCGACACACACTTTTTAAATCTTTTCCCATCATTCAAATTGACCACAATCCAGCAACCAGTTACATCATAATAGGGTTTCCATAACATTCAACCACTCAGGTCACCATAGATGAAACGACAACTTGGCGATAAATGAAACAACTTTGCAATAATCCAAGGGGCACCCTTAAATCTACTGTAACTGATTTGTGTACTGAAGATAGGGATTCTTTGACACATTTTCAATAAGAGGATACTCTTTCAGCACCAATATAAAGGTGTACTGTTAAAGATTATAATTCAGCAACTTTTGAATTGCACTGTACCTCACAGGTTCAGATAATTGGCATCCTACTGCCACTTTATGCTTAAATTTTAGTAAAAGTTCTGAAATATATATCTCTTGAAGAAACACGGCGAGCAACATAAGTATTTGCATAAGGCAGAAAGTTGCCTAAAATTTACTGAAAACAAGCAGTCTAATAATTCCAACTAAATCAGAAAACTTGCTTATCTTTTAGTAGCAATTGCTAAAGAGACTGAAAACAAGTTAATAAATAAATTTCCCTCAGTAATCTTTCAAGTTAATATGTCACACAACTGTTATGTTTGAAATATTCCAGTCTATTGACATAATTTTATTATATTTCAGTCAGCTCTTTAAATAAGTAAATAATGTTTTTAAAAATTTACCATTACCCATTACTGGATATTTGCTTCTTTTTAAAGTTGAATGCATGTACACATTTTGATGTCAAAAAGGTTAACATGAGCAGAAAATTATGTCAATAAAATTACTTAAACATAAGATACACCTGCATTGCTTTATTTTTTATTACCAGAGTTTGATTAATAAAACATAAAATATTGTCAGATGTTAGATATTTAAAGAACATGGTTATCAACAGATGTCAAAACAAATAGTTCTGCAGGAATTTATATACCCATATGCACAGGGGCGTAGCTAGAGCGGAGGCATATGTCCCCGGGCGCAGAATGCAAGGGGCGCCAAACTGATGTTACAACATTTTAGAATTAAATGTTTTTCATCCTTGGCAAGCAGTAGGGGGCACGGAATCTTCAGTTGTCCCCGGGCGCTGAAAACCCTAGCTACGACTCTGTATATGCACTTCAGAATTGCTACCAATATATACAAATACTGAAGAAAATGTAAAATTCAAATTTCACACAGAAAGAAGTATTATAAAAGGAATGGTCGTCCATTTCTGTAATGTACTTTAAATAGCCTAGAACATGTGAAATATTAACACATGATTAGCTGCTATTTTAGTATTTTCGGTTTTTTAAGAAGTTGCATTTAAAATGAAATTCCAGTTTCGATGTTGTACGTTCACTAGTTATAAAAGTAGGGAATGAATCGATGAGAGAGCTAAAATGCAGTAATATGAAACACATAAAAAAATTTATAATGGATTATGATTCTATACGAAGAGCATGGGAAAGGCTACGTGTCTGGTTCAGTAAAAAGTCAGAAGTATTTAAAAGTCTGCAAGAAGGTATATTAATTTTTCCTTTTTCAGATATCACCTTTCGGACATGGTACAATTACTTTGGAATTCTAACTTAACTTTACTTACCAAAGTACTGCGCGAAATTACTACTACGTTAGATATGAAAGAACCGTCAAAATAATAAATAATTCAACATAGCCCAAAACTAAGCACAAAGCAGCTAATAAACGCACATTAAAATTATAAAACACATAATGAAATATAAAACATATATATAGCCATTTTTTACATGCTAATAATTAAAACTTAATATAAAATATAACTTACATAATAATAATCTATATAATATAACTTAATATAATAATAATCTATATAATCAACAATAATTTGAAAAATAAAGTACCTAAATGATTTTAGCACAGCTTCAGTATAGCTCACCGAGAATTTTAACTAAAAGAATATCACCAAGTAATACAAGACAGACTCCTTGAGCTGGAGCAAACCGCATGTATTCGTTACCAAGTAACGGGTACATCGGTTGACTCGAAGTACCGATTCGGTACTCACAAATCAATTTCGTTACTCGCATCCATTTCGTTACTCATACGATGCGAGTAGGAATGATGCGGTTTCTCACTCGAATACGAATGATGCGGTGTGTTCGATACGAATGCGGTTGCTGTTCGAATACGCATGATGAGGTTGCTAACAATACCTGTGCGTCACAATGCGCGCATATTTTTTTTTTATTGATAATTTCGGTACTTTTTTTGTGTAATTCATCGGTAAACTCTTATTTTATTATGTGTTTGTATTTTAGTTTGAAATATATTTAGTTGATGATATTTAATGAGCCATTTTGACAGCGTGAAGCGTTATTTTTGTACTCGCTTTGTTACATTAAATTTATAGTGCATATTATGTTTGTAATTTGAAAATTTGGATAATTTAAATAATATTGATTTCTCTTGAGGGTGCCATTGGGATATTTTTATGATTTGAAATTTATATACTGCACTTAGGTATTGTTTATATAAGAATATGTAGGTCATATACGTTCTTTACTTACTTGTACGAAGTAAAAAGGAATAAGTACTGTATCGCGAAAAATATTGGGCATCATATTTCTACGGAAACATCCATTTTTGACCATTACAGAATCCATGGATAATGTTTTTGGTGAAGTATGACGTACGGACACAATGAAGGACTCTTTCTTCCCAAAAACGGATTGCTAAGTAGGATTAAAGGGATATGATTCAAGCTGATACTTAAAAGGGATTTTTTCATGACGTGACGTATGATGTATCATTTCTCATAACTCCAAAATGATTACTTGTAGAACGTTGAAAATTGTATATGGGACCGCTGTAACATCTAGATGTGCAACCACCCCATTTTTTTGCAATCGCCGATACTATCAAACGTAAATATATATATTAAATAAATTATAATTAAATGCAAAGTATATATATATATATATAGGAATAGAGTCTATATATCATATATTATATTATATCCATCTTCCTTATATGGCTTTTATTTTCGCAATTGTTGGCTGCAGTCAGGGTTTTAATTTTTTAAAATTAGAAATATGGAGCCTACGGAAGGCTATCAGGAAAAGATAAATAAATAAAAAGTTAAATAAAAAAAGCTGAAAGGTTTTTAGATTTTAAATTATGTCCAAAGAGGCCTTTTTTTAGTTTTGCGTGCTACCTGGGTTATTAAATATCTGTTCTACGTACTAAACCATAAAATTCAGTTCAACAGCAATATCGCAAAATAATTTAAAATGAACATATCTTTAGAATTTCCGATACACAGTCTCACGCGCTGGAGATAAAAATATTTTTTTCGTACAATTGTTGCCACTGCTCACTTTGAAATCTCTAAATTTGTTAATCAAAAATTCAGTGAAGTGTTACAAAATAGGAAATCGATAATAAAACAATTGCAAATTCAAATTGGGACTTATACATACCCATATTCTGGAAGATTACGTTATTCGAATTTCGATGGCTCTAGGTGCCGCTGTTTTATCACAATGCGAGAAAATACTACGTTCATACGATTTCATTATTTAATTTCTTTAAATATAATACAGGGAGATAATATTTGGTGGCAAAATTTGAAAATTGAAACAAACGCTTATCGTGAAGCGGTGCAAAATGCCAAAACGAAATTAATAGTTCTTCTGGGAATTGATCCTTTGGACTAAAAAAAATCTGAAAGATTTCAGATTTTAAATTACTTTCACAAGGGCGTCGTTTTTAACATTTTGTGTGTTACCTTTACCAAGTTCTTCGCACTTAAACCATAAAATTCAGTTCAAGAGCATTTTGCAAAATAACTTTAAAATGAGTATTTTTAGAATTTCCGATACATATTTTTTCGTACACTGGAGATAATTTTTCTTTCCGTACAGCGTTGCCATTGCTCGCTTTGAAATCCTTGAGTTTGTTAATAAAAATTTTAAAGTTTACCAAAATATGAAATCGATTAAAAAACAAATCCAAATTTGAACTTTAGATGCCCATATTCAGGAGGATTACGTTATTCAAAATTTGATGTCTTTAGGTACCTATGTTTTATTACTATGCGAAGAACTACATGCACATTCTTCATATTTAATTTATTTAAATATAATACAGGGTGATAAACTTGAGTTGGTGACAACAATTTTAAAAGTGAAACAACGCATGTGATTACGCAAAACCAAACGAAATGAATAGTCCTCTGGGCAAATTCCTCTGGACTAACAAATAATTAAAAAAATCTGAAAGTTTTCAGATTTTATTACGTCAAGGGCGTTTTTGAACATTTGGGTCAACAATCGCAAAATAATTTTTAAAATGAGCATATCTTTATAGGTATTTTCCCGCTTTCTTGGCATGCCTTCGTAATGCGTGGTCCGCATCTCGGCGTGTATTCGAGAGGTCCCTATTACGAGCCCGGCGAAGGCATGCTCATTTATCATCTCGCTTCGAAAACCTGATGTCTATAATGCGCCCGAACTAAAAAGATGGTAATTGAGATTGTTGCGTTGAATACCTGAATATTGTTCATTCAGTCGTTCTTGCCTTTAAATTAAATTTGACTCCATTTATAAACACGTGAGAAGAAATATTTAAATAAACAATTACGTTTCTTGCTTAAGAAAGCCAACTTTTATTTTTCTTACACACTTAAGGAATCAAAATTATTCCAAGCTTTCTTACTGTTGCCAAACTGAAAAAAAATATCTGTCTAAAATGGAACACAACGGCTGATGAAGCGTTACCAAATATAATCATGGAGTCACAACAATATCCTCAAACCATGATTTGCAACTGGGTCCTAATTCCCAGTCGCCCTTTAAGGGTGAGAATATAAGGTTTTTCCCTCCTTCTTAGCAGGCTCGTAGTATATGGTCAGGAGGCTCGGCGCGTATTCCGAGAGG